TTGAGACAGAGTCTCACTATGTAGTGTGGAACTCACTACATAGCTCAGGCTGGTCTTGAACTCACAGTGATCCTCCTGCCTCAGCCTCCCGAGGGCTGGGATTACAGGCATGCGCCACCACACCCGGCAGAAAATGACTTATTGTTTAATAAGGCTTATGACACTTTTAAAAAATGAAGGTTAACGTTATACATTTTAAGCTGGGTGTGGTAGTACAGGCATGTAATCCTAACCACTCTGGGAGGCTGAGGCAGGAGGACGGCCAAATTTGAGCCCAGCCTACACAATTTAGAGAGACCATTTCAAAATCAAAAAGAATTAAAAAAGGGCTGGAGGGCCAGGGATTTGCTCAGTGGTTCCAGCACCTGCCTTGAAAGTGGAAGGACCCAAGTTCAATCCCCGGTACCAAATAATTAATTAATTAATTAATTAATTTAAAAAAGGGCTGGAGATATTGCTTAGTGTGAAGGCCCAGTTCAATCACAAGTACCACAAAAAACAAAAATGCAACCCAAAACCAAGAAAAAGACCATTCTCCCCTTGACGAGGAAGGTATAGGAAGGGCAGTGGTGGTTCTGGGCTAGCTGGCAGAGTGAAGAAAAGCCTGACCGGGCCCTGAGTGCTGCACAGCATGGGAGCCAGTGAGGACTTCTGGTTCCTTGCAGGTGACACGTGGGGTAGCTCTGAGGAGACTCAGGAGCAGTGGTGCCCCCAAGGGAAATGGCATGCGCAATGCACAGATCAGAGTTCATGGATGCCACTCTCCACAGAAAGAGCAGGCTCCTTGGAAAGATAGCTGGTGCCAGTGTGGAGTCTTAAATGACAAAGTAAGTCTGGAGGGTCCTGCTGAATAAGAGGAAAACAAATATTTAAAAAATAAGGGGACAGGTCAAAATTACATGAGAGCCAGCCTGAAGGAACTGTCTCCAGCCAAATGTTGGCCAATAAATCATCAGGTAAGAGATCTGAGTCTGAGTCCACGGTGAAAAAGGAACTGAAAGAGGGACTCTTCCTTCCATGAGCAGAAGAATCAGAGGTCATCACAGAGCACCTGTCACAATGACCTGATGAGGAGAGTGGGGCAAGTACTATCTCCACTAAACATTAAGCATAAAGCTCGCCATGCTGTGCTTCCAGCTTTTCTATAAGCTTGAAACGAAGTTTTTAAAAGTACTGAGACATTTTCCTAGCACTGTATTTTCTACTCTTGACTGCATCACCATTTACTCGCTTCTGCAAACTGTAGAAGGCAGCAAGGTAGAGGAAGTGCGCCCTTCAGCCACAGCTCCAAACTGCAGCTCTAGAAAGGAACGAAGTGCATCATAACACAGATGAGCTCTGAGCACAAGAGGAAGCAGTCAGGAACAAGAGGACACACACTGCATGGCCCCATCTATAAGAAACACCTACAACAGGTAAACCTGCAGAGACAGACATATCCTGGTATCTGCCTATGCTGGATAGTACCGGTGGTGGGGGCTGGGGGAATTACTGATACCAAATATGGGGGTTTTTCTTGAGATGATGAAGATATTCCAGAATTAGACTGGAACTATGTAACTCTGAATAACCTAAAAATAAGTGAAATGAATTGATGAGTTTTATGGTATATGAAAACAAGAGATCCTGAGTTAAGAGTTGTCCTCAAAGACAAAATATAAGATCCAGGGGTGGGGATACAGCTCAGTGGGAAACACTTGCCTAGAATGCATGAGGTTCTGGATTAAATCTCCAGCACTGCAAAAACAAAGCAAAACAAAAGGTTTAAATGCAGACAGAAATATCCTAGATCCCAAAAAGTTACCCAAACACGTGGATACTCTAATTTCTACTCAAAGTAAAATAATGGAGGATTTTCAACTATATCCTCAAGTTCCTCTTTTACACTGTGTCCTAAAAACCAAAGCAAAGCATCAGCAAAAAGAAACAAAAGTTCCCACAGTCCCAGCTCTCCACACTGTGATGCACCCCAGACAAAGTCTTGAAGTGTCACAGTGGCCAAATAGGCAGGAGATGCACACATCCGATCCAAGGCAAAATCTGTAGGAAGCAGCTGTCGAGATGTGCATGTCACCAGCTGCTGCCTCTGCTTCCATTTTCCCTATATCCTGGGGTCTTCCCCACTGTCCCCAATCCAAAGACATAAATAGGAAACCCAAGGACAGTCAGGGACTCCATTTGCTGAGCCTATTTGGCATGCTGAGACACCATCAAAGCCACACATCAGCTGGAAAGGGCATGTTTAAGATCACTAGAGTGTTTCATACTCTAAGATTGTGCCGCCTGGACTTTTGTCACCATCACTTCTTCAAATCTGCCCTCCCCCAAGCTGCCCTGGTTTTTAGTAAAATTTAAATATAGTACCTGTAGCATCATAACTACCACCATCATCACCTGAGATGGGGTTCTAATGTGCTGCCCAGGCAGGCCTTGAACTACTGGGCTCAAGAGAACCCTCCACCTCAGCCTCCTAAGTAGCTGGGACATTGTGGCCCATTTGAAGTCAGGCTCAGTGCTTTCAATACCAACAGCAGATGTACTGTGCGTAAGTTGGACCAAGGTGAATCATAGCTATACTTCGCTTCCCACTTTAAATTTTTCATCAGTTACTAACAGCCGCTTTTTACTTGCTAAAGTTTGTATGTATATATCACTACTTCAGCCCAAGCTTCCTATGAAACACTAATATTCTCTAGTATGGGCTAGCACAAGAAATAACTCAGGCAAAGCAGGTATGCTACTCAATAGGGAGAATTACAAGTTCAAGGTGAGCCTTGGCAACTTAATGAGGACTCATTCCCACAATAAGGCGCTGGCTTCAATTCCCTGCTCCTCAAAAAAAGAAAAGGAGAAAGATAAATAACTCATGGGTCTCTCTCTCTGGTAGCTGATGCTGAGAAAGTCCTCGTAGCTCGGGCAGGTTGTGTTTGCTGTCCTCTCACATGGGCCATTCCAACACTCATTCCCAGTTTATTCTTCCTCTGGTGATAATCTTAAGAATGGAATAGAGCAGTTAAATTTTTTTAAACTTCTGTATGTGAAAAAACACCTTTTCTCAGGGCTGGGGATTTAGCTTAGTGGTTCTGCTGCCTGCCTTGCAAGCTCAAGGTCCCAAGTTTGACTCCTAGTACCAAACAAACAAACAAACAAAAAAACACTTTTTCTCACTGTACAAAAGTCACATTAGACAGGACACACTGTTCTAGGTTGGAAATAATCTTTTCAGTTTCTTTCTTTCTTTTTTTTTTTTTTGAGACAGGGTTTCACTTGGCCTTGAACCCACTATGTAGCCCAGGCTGGCCTCAGACTCATGGTGATCTTCCTGCCTCATCAGCCTCCCGAGTGCTCCTGCTTGGATTGCACATGTGAGCCACCATACCCACCGCAGGTCTTCCAGTCTCCAAGGTAGCTGCTGGCAAGCCAAGAGCATTTTATTTTTTTTCTTTCCTTTCTCTTCACCTCCCTCCCTCTTTCCCTTCCTTCCTTTCATTTTCCTTCCCTCCCTCTCTTCCTGGAAGCTCCTGGATCCTCTCTATTCTGAAACTTCATGATCTACACCAATTTTTGTTCATTTGCCACACTGGGAACTTGTAGGCACTTTCAAGTGGGAGACCCTGCTTCAGTACTGGGGATTTCTCCCATGTGCTTCTCTGAACAGTTTCCTCGCTGGCTACAATGTTCTTGCTTCTGGAATTCCTGTACACTGGATGTTGGACCTCTTGGGTTGCTCTTTTCATTTTCTTTATTCTTTCTCTACCTTTCTTCCTTTTATCTTTTACTAACCCTTGTGGTGATTTCCTCAACTTTATCTTGCAGGCATTCTGCTTCTGCCAACACTGTTTCATCAGCACTTCTATTACTCTGCAGGCATTTTCCTGTTCTGCTCCTATCCCAGCATTCTGTTCCTATTTCGGAGATCAGTGTCTTCTCTTACTTCTCAGTTTCTGAAGGTAATGCAGGAGTACATGACCGAATTATCAGTGAGGAGTCTTCCTCTTCCTCTTGTCCCAAACTCTGCCAGCTGAAATCACCCTTCCTGAGGCCTTTACCATCCCCAGTTCATTTTGCACGGAATACAGTGTTTGGATAATGTTTTCCCCAGAAGCAGCAGCACAGCAGTTTTGGATCATCTGTACCTACAGTGAATGCTATATCTAGAAGAATGTTTCATGTGTCAGGACCTATACAGAGTCCTTATTTTTTTTTTTTTTATGTTTGGTACCAGGGATTGAACTCAGACCTTGAGCTTGAGAGGTGGAGGAACCACTAAGCCAACTCCCTGGCCCAAGTCCTCATTTTTTGTATAGCTGCCCAATATGTCATCATATGGGTACCTGCCATTTATTTAACTGGGCTCCTAATGATTAATTCCTAATACTTTACTATTACAAACAAGGCAGGAATACAATTTTTTTTGATACCAAGAATCAAACTCAGGGTGCCTTGCACTCTCCAGGCAGGCGGTATAAAGTGGAATAAAATCTTATAAAATAAAAAATTTTATATTCGCATAAAGGAATATGCCTACATTTCATGAGCATAATACAAGACGACACAGATTTCCAGCTCAGACAATCTAATGGATAAGACATGAACCCCCTGAGGAGAGGGTAGGTTATCCTTCTGTTTTTCCATCTCTTCTCTCCTTGGCACAGCTCAGTTTTTTCAGAATAAATTTTCTACCTGTCCTTCACAATGGAGACCTTCCTCAGGCATCAGCCACTCCTTGGTTATCCATACATGCCTGAAAGTGAGGCCCCTGGAGTGCAGGGGTTGTGATCTTCACAGTAAGGACTGCTTCAGCCAGAGTCACTGGCAGACGTGAAACCAGGAGGAAACATGAAAAGGGTGAACAGCATCTGTGGGGTCACAAAGTGTCTCTCCACAGGCTGCTTACCAGGTCAAGGAGACAGACCACTAACTTCACAGCGGAACTACCACAAAATCAGGGGTCAAGGCCTGTGTCACCAGTGGGGACAGACTCTTGGTATATCATGTGAGACAGCTTGAAGGTCACAACGTTTTGTGGGGTCCAGCTGGAACATGCCACCAAATCTAATCACAGGGTGACATCCAACACACCCAGGCATGTCACTATTAAAAATAAAAAGGGCAGCTCTTTAATACTGTCATTGCTACCAAGGCTAAAGGAAAGGCCGTGAAGATGTTGTGGAATGAGGTGACCAGAGACATGAGGGCTACATGTCCCATCAGGTCCCAGCCTGCAACCAGACCCAGAGAACAAAAGCTATAAAAGGACACCAGTGGGCCTGCTGACAAAACTGCAAAATAAACAACACAACAGATAAAGAACCAATGAAGACCGGACTGTGGATGGATAAGGGAATAGCTTATTCTCTGGAAATATTAGGCAAAGGGACTCAGGTGAAGATGTACACAACTCACTTCCTAAGACTTGAAAAATACATGTGTAAGGTGGGCAGATGTGTGTGTGCAGGTGGGAGGAAGCAGCAGTCCTGAAGCAAGGGGACCACGTGCTAATAAAAGAGTAGGTCTGGGCCAAGCCACAGGCAGCTCTCTGTGCTGTCCTAATTCTCTCAGATCTTCTATGGGATTGAGTGTGTTCACACTGAGGTCTTTGACCACGTGGGTGGGGTGTGTGTGTGTGTGTGTGTGT